TGTTAACGAAAGTGAAAACTGAGCCCAGAGAGGTTGCATGGCCCGCCAAGATTGAACAGCAACTTCCTGGAGAAGGCCTCCCTGCTCTGCCCCGCTGTGGTCAGTGCACACGTGCACTTCCTCTGACCAAGTCTGGGCAGCCCAGAGAGGCGGGAGGAGGGGAAATACAAGGTGGCCACAGACTCTGTGTCATGGTAGCTAACTTAGTCCTGGCCAGAGCCCCATGGCTCGGCAAGTTCCTCACAGTCTCTCGACATCCTCCCTAGCACAGTGTCCACTTGATGATGTGTTTGGGAGCACATTGTTGCATCTAGGCGCAAAACTGCCTGCGTGCAAGCCACAGGGGTGGGGTGATGGTGACGGAGGCGGGGGTGCTAGGGATGGTGCTGATGTTGGTGATGTTGATGACACAGATGGAGATGGTGGTGCTGGAACTGCTGGTGGTGAGGAAGACAGTGAGGATGAGGGTGATGACAGTGTTGATGGAAGCACAAGTGGTGATATCGGTGGTGATGGGAGAGATGGTGATGGTCCTGATGATGGAAGGAAGAGGCAGGAAGTGCTACTCAACCCAGGAGAGACTGAGCCCCAGAAAGAGGTCAACTGGTCGACCCCAGAACACTGGCCTCTGGGAAATGCCTACTTCCCTCTCTGAGGCCCAGTGCTCCAGGACAATGGTGACTGGCTCTCACTCATCTGGGAACACCCGTCACAGGTCACAAGCATTTTATTACAAGGAGTCTGGGCTGCTGGCAGAGGGAGGGTAGGCAGGGGTCCCATTACAACTCCACCCCCAGGGGCTGGAGTGATAGCACAGCCGGTAGGGTGTTTCCCTAGTATGCAGCCAGACCCGGGTTCGATTCCCAGCATCCCATATGGTCCCCCGAGCATGACCAGGAGTAATTCCTGAGTGCATGAACCAGGAGTAACCCCTGTGCATCGCTGGGTGTGACCCAAAAAGCAAATAAATAAATAAATAAATAAATAAAGGGTTTGAAGGAAAATTAAAGTAGCCTGGAGTTACCATTTTAAAAAAAGGGGGGGGGTTGGAGCAATAGCAGAGCGTGTAGGGCATTTGCCTTGCCCATGGCCAACCCGGGTTCGATTCCCAGCATCCCATATGGTCCCCTGAGCACCGCCAGGGGTAATTCCTGAGCGCAGATCCAGGAGTAACCCCTGTGCATTGCTGGGTGTGACCCAAAAAGCAAAAAATAATAAATAAATAAAAATAAAAGTAAAAAAATAAAAATCAATTAAAAAAAAAAAACTCCACCCCCAGAGAGTAAAGTACTCGCCTTACACACAGCTGACCTGGTTCCAGGCACCACATATGGTCCCCCAAGCACTGCCAGGAGTGACCCCTGAGTACAGAGCCAGGAGTGACCACTGCCAGGTTGCCATTCCCCCTCCGCCCCCCCCCCCAAAAAAACATAGTGCCAGGAAGATAGTGCAGGGATTAATACATGCCTGATCTAGGTTTGACCCCGCAGCACCACATGACCCCTCATGCAGCGTGGGGTGTAGCCCTCAAGGGCCCTGAGCATGGCCCAACCCTTGCAGCACCGGGCCCAAGCAGCCCCTCACTCTTGGGCTGTTCAGCTCACACTGGGGCACCAGCCCATTGCCAGAAGTGACCCCCAGACCCCAGGCACTGTTCGGAAGTGGCTCCCCACCAAGACTCAAACTCCATCACCAGTTTTCACACATTTTACCAGAACAGAATAAGTGCTTGTCTTTTGTTTTATTTATTTATTTATTTTCTTTTTGGGTCACACCCAGCGATGCTCACGGATTACTCCTGGCTCTGTGCTCAGGAATTACTCCTGGCGGTGCTCAGGGGACCATATGGGATGCCGAGGATTGAACCTGGGTCTGGGTCAGCGGCATGTAAGGCAAACGCCCTACCCGCTATACTGTCGCTCTGGCCCATTGTTCTTTGTGTTAAATTTTATTTCCCCCTTACGCTTTATATGAACACCATGGCTTACAAAGTTGTGCAAGAAGATTGGTTACAGATACTCAGTTCTCCCAACACCAATCCCAGCACCATTGCAACTCCCCACCAAAATTAGCTCCAATTTTCCTAACCACAACCTAAGTCTGCCCCCAAAGCAGGCCCTCAATATTTTATTTTATATTGCTTGTTATCAATAATTTTCTCAAAGATTGATTTAAAAAAAAGTTTCCGTGGAAGAAAGTTAATGAAGATTGTTGAATCCCCCCAGACTTTTTTTAAAATTTTTTTTATTTAAATGAATCACTCTTTTAAGGCCTGTTCTCATAAAACCTTGTCTGTCAAATGCCCAGAAACTATTCTTCCGAAGTGACTTCAACACAGTGGCCTACACTTCCCTCACTCAGGTGCTCCCAGCCCCACGGGAAGTGGCACAGGAGCCGGGCAGACGGTGGTCTAAGCAGAGACCCCCGTGACGGGCAGAGCTGGCTGCTCTAAGAAGGAATCTGAGGCCTCGCAGGCGACCACCTGGTCTTGTCCCCACCTAACTCAAACCCGGAGTGGGGCCAGAGCCACAGTACAGCAGGGAGGGCTCTTGCCCCGCGAACAGTTGGTTCAATCCCCGCATCCCATATGGTCCCCAAGGCTCCCAGGAGTGATCCCTGAGAGCAGAGCCAGGAGTAACCTGGAGCACCACTGGGTATGGCCCTTTCCCCCTAAAATTAAATCATACCTGGAGCAGCCCCGTGGCACCTGGACACAACTGCTCTGAGCCCCACAGGCCCCAGGGAGCCTCAGATGGGCCAGCAGTGGGGGCCAGACCCACAGACTTGCTGGACCCTGGCAGCAGCGGTGCCCACGGACAGCCAGGAGCCTAACAGGCCGTGCTCCCTGGAGCTGGGCTTGGAGCCTGGAGGCTGTCTCTGCTCCCCCCTCAGCCCTAGAGACGTTCTCCCCCTCTTTGGACTGGTCCCTTTCCACAGGCAGGTTTTCCTTTTCAACCCCAGACCCAGAAAGTAAGCCTTCTCCCCGACACACTCATCATTTCATTAAAAAGTTATGGGGCCAGATCGATAGCACAGCTGGGAGGGCATTTACCTTGCATGTGGCCAACCCGAGTTCTATCCCCAGCATTTCATATGGTCCCCCGAGCATCCCCAGGAGTGATTCCTGAGTGCAGAGCCAGGAGTAACTCCTGAGTGTCAACAGATGGGACCCAAAAAAGAAATAATAATAATAATAATAATTAATAATAATAATATTAATGGGATAGAGCACAGCACAGCAGGCAGGGTGTTTGCCTTGCACATGACCAACCTGGGTTTGATTCCTCTGTCCTCTCGGAGAGCCCGGCAAGCTACCAAGAGTATCCTGCTCACACGGCAGAGTCTGGCAAGCTCCCCGTGGCATATTTGATATGCCAAACACAGTAACAACAAGTCTCACAATGGAGACAGTACTGGTGCCCGCTCGAGCGAATCGATGAACAATGGGACGACAGTGCTACAGTGCTACAATAATAATAATAATAAAGTTATAATAGGGTCCCAGAGATTGTATAGAGTGCTAGCCCCAGGCTTCAATCACTCCAAGCACTGCCAGGAGTGATCCCTGAGCACAGAGCCAGGAATAACCCCTGTGTACTGCTGGGTGAAACACATCTCAATACCCCCAAACAGATACTAATGGTTACTCTTCTAAAGAAGCGTGGCAGGAGGAAATTTGGGGGGTAGTAGAACTGTCTTGTTGGCGGTGGAGATTACACGGGTCTGCAGACATGTAACCATGCATAGACCTGTGCACGCAAGGAAAATGTTCATTTGGGTTTTTGTTTGTTTTTAATTTTTTTTATTTTTTTGCTTGTTGGGTCACACCTGGCGATGCACAGGGGTTACTCCTGGCTCTGCACTCAGGAGTTACTCCTGGCGGTGCTCAGGGGACCATATGGGATGCTGGGAATCGAACCTGGGTCGGCCACGTGCAAGACAAACACCCTCCCCGCTGTGCTATCTCTCCAGCCCCTTGTTTTTAATTTTTATTAGTGAAATACCATGAGGTACAGTTGTACACTCAGAAATTTTTGTGCTTGGGTTTCAGTTATACAATGATCGAGTACCCATCCCTCCACCAGTGCCCATTCTCCACCAATCAATGATCCCAGTATCCCTCCCACCCACCCCTCATTCCCCCCATCCCACCCCACCTCTGTGGCAGGGCATTCCCTTTTGCTCTCTCTCTCCTTTTGGGTGCTGTGGTTTGCAAAAGAGGCATTGAGTGGCAATCACCACATGTTCATATGAAAAGTGAAGTATATATTGGTTTGGGGACTACCCAGAGGTGCTCAGGGCTGAGTACCTTTTGGCTCTGCTCAGGATCACTGAGCCAGTGATCAAGGGACCGGTGGACCTCAGGAGACCATATGGGGTGCCAGGGATTGAACCTGGGTCAGCTGCATGCAAGGCAACCACCCCACCCTCTATACTGTCTCTCCAGTCTCATAAAATAGATATGCATAGGTATATGCTCATCTATACATAAAATATTAAGCAATTTGAGGGTCAGAGTGATAGGACAGCGGGTAGAACACTTGCTTTACAGGCTGCTGATCTGATTCGATCCCAAGCACCCCCATATGGTCCTCCGAGGCCCATGAGGAGTGATCCTTGAGCACAGGGCCAGCACCTCCAGGTGTAGCCCCAAGAAAAGTAATTGTTTCAACTCTACTCAATTGATTTTGTTTGTTGTTTTGGGGGCCACATTTGGCAATGCTCAGGGTTACTCCTGGCTCTGCATTCAGGAAATACTCCTAGCAGTGCTTGGGGGACTCTATGGGATACCAGGAATTGAACCCAGGTCACCCGCATGCAAGGCCAGTGCCCTAACCACTGTACTATCACTCAGGCCCTCAACTGATGTCACAAGTTTTTAGGGGGGATGAGGGAAACGCCTGCTGGTGAGCCCTGGGGGTGGGAGGGCTTGTTGCTCAACCGTGAGGGGAGAAGGGCCCAGGGCTTCCTGACCTCCTCTCGACTCTCTCTTTCCACAGTCACTTCCTGCCTCGGAGGGAGCAGGTGGGAGGACCAAGGTAAGGAAGAGCTTCCGGGAGGCTGGGGAACAGGGGGACACAAGACTGAAACTTCTCGAGCGTGAACCCCACCCTCAAAGGGCCCAACACGCACCTTGAAGATGCAAGTGGACCCTCCGTGTCTATAAACAACCCCTCCGGGCTAGTTCTCGCGAGAGCTGCCACAGGAAGTGCTGCCTGGCAAAGCCCTCACCAGCTCCTTCTCCAGCTCGGCTCTGTCAGAGGCTTGTTTGCCCAAACATTGGCAACCAAGGCAGCAACACCTATGAAATGTCCTGCCTTTGGACTCAGAGCCTTGAGGCTAGTGTTTCGTGAAACCCTTGCTCCGTGGGTCCCTTGTTCCATTGGTCCCTTATTCCATGGAACCCTTGTTATATGGGTCACTTGTTATGTGGGGCCCTTGTTCCATGACACCCTTGTTCCATGGAACCCTTGTTCCATGGGTACCTTGTTCCACTGGTCCCTGGTTCTGTGGGTCCCTTTTTCTGTGGGTCCCTTGTTCTGTGGAACCCTTGTTCCATGGGTCCCTTGTTCCATTGGTCCCTTATTCCATGGAACCCTTGTTCCTTAGGCCCCTTGTTCCGTGGGTCTCTTGTTCCATTGGTCTCTTGTTCCGTGGGTCCCTTTTTCTGTGGGCCCCTTGTTCCATACAACCCTTGTTCCGTAGGTTCCTTGTTCCATTGGTCCCTTATTTTGTGGAACCCTTGTTCTGTAGGCCCTTGTTTCATAGGCCCCTTGTTCCGTGGGTCCCTTGTTCCATTGGTCCCTTGTTCCGTGGAACCCTTGTTCCTTAGGCCCCCTTGTTCCGTGGGTCTCTTGTTCCATTGGTCTCTTGTTCCGTGGGTCCCTTTTTCCGTGGGTCCCTTATTCCACGGAACCCTTGTTCCATAGGCCCCTTGTTCCATGGGTCTCTTGTTTCGTTGGTCCCTTGTTCCACTGGTCCCTTGTTCCATGACAGCCTTGTTCCATGGAACCCTTGTTCCGTGGGTCCCTTGTTCCATTGGTCCCTTATTTCGTGGAACCCTTATTCTGTAAGCCCTTGTTTCGTAGGCCCCTTGTTCCACTGGTCCCTTGTTCTGTGGGTCCCTTGTTCCATAACACCCTTGTTCCATGGAACCCTTATTCTGTGGGTTCCTTGTTCTAGGGGTCCCTTGTTCTGTGACACCCTTGTTCCATGACCCTTGTTGCATGACACCCTTCTTCAGTGAAACCCTTGTTCCATGGCCTCCTTGTTCCGTGGCATCTTTATTCCGTGGAACCCTTGATCCATGACATCCTGTTCTGTGGGTCCCCTTGTTCCCTTGTTCCATGGGCCCCCTTGTTCTGTGGCACCCTTGTTCTGTGGCACCCTTGATCCATGAATCTCTTGTACTGAGGACTCCTTGCTTCATGGCATCCTTGTTCCGTGCCCCCCTTATTCCATGGATCTCTTGTTCCATGACTCCCTTGTTCCGTGGCCCCTCTGTTCCATGGTCCCATTGTTCCATGGACCCCTATTCCTTGAGGCTACTGTTTCCCAGAACACGTGAACACACATGCCAAGTTCCCCAGAACCAGTGGCCTCCAGTGAGTCCCCTCTACTGCAAATAGAACCCTGATAAAATTGATTTTGTTTTGTTTGGGGGCCGCACCTGGTGATACTCAGGGGTTACTCCTGACTCTGCACTCAAGAATTACTCCTGGCAGGGATTGGGGATACGGGGAATGTGGGGATCAAACCCGGGTAGGCCACATGCAAGGCAAATTTCCTCCCCACTGTACCACTGTCTCTCTGTTCCCTTAAAATTGACTTTGAAGGTGAGGGGAACGGGGAGAAAAGAATCAGGTCCCGGCCCCTCTCGGGTCTACTGAAAGTTTCCAGGCGTGGAGGGCTCTGCTGGACAGGGGGTGCTGAGTAGCCCCTACCCACTGTCCCTGGGGGGTTTCTGTATCTCATCCCCCCTCCCAGACTCCGGTATGGGAGCCCACCAGGGCCACTTGGCCCAGGGTCTGGAGGTCACATGACCGGAAGCAGCAGGCGGCTGACCCTACTGGCTGCCCCTCACTGTCTGCTTTGCCCCTAGAGTTGCAGGTGGTACTCAACGGCTCACACTCGCTGTGCCAAGGCCAGGTGGAAGTTCACATCCAGAACACGTGGCACACGGTGGACAATCGAAGCTGGGACTGGCACAACAGCCTCCAGGAGTCCCTCCAACAGGCCTCAAAGCTCTGCCGGAAGCTGGACTGCGGGGAGGCCCTGATCCTCGGCCACTTCCCCCGCTTCAAGCCCCCCAAGAACCATCCCCCAGTCACCTGCCGGGGACATGTGGGCTCCTTCGCCAAGTGCAATGCCAGCTCGTCTGCCCAGACCAAGCCCCTGGGCCTCGTCTGCTTAGGTGGGTAACCGGGGGGGGGGGGGGGGCCACAGGCGAACCCACAACCTGGGCACACCCACCGCGGGAAGGGGGGGGGGGGCGTTCCTGATTTATGATCCCTGCCTGCCTCAGCCCCATCCCCACAAACAGACCACAGGGTGAAGCTGGGGTTGCCGGCCCCTGTCTGGTGGATGATAAAGGGGCCCTCCACCCCGCCAACCTTCAGGGTCCCAACACTAAAGGGTCCAGGACTGTCCCCAGGTACCCAACACAGACACGGACACCCATGTGTGGGCCTGGCCGACTTAATGGGCCCTCAGTGCCCCCACCCTTAACCCTCCCAACAGCCCCCACCTCCACGCCCGCCCCCATTCCTTCCCTCCCAGCATCCTTTGCGCCTACCTCATCAGAGGGTCTCATTACAGAGCCCCCCAAGAAGACCCCTCCTCCCACAAGCCCCCCACCCACGACAACTCCGGCGCCCACAGGTAAGAGGACCCTGAGGGGTCACCGGGAGGGCCCGTTACGTGCTCTTGCTATATCTGAGGCCGTAGCTGGGGCCTCCCCACTCTGGGACTGGCCACCAGAGATGGGGGGATAGAGGGTCCAGCCCTGCTCTCTGCACTCAGGCCGGCCACCCTCTGCCCTCTCCCCTCGGCTCAGATCCACCCAGGTTTCTGCTGGTGAATGCGCCCCGGGGCCTGCGGTGTGCCGGCGTGCTGGAGGTCTACATGGGGGGCGTCATTGGCTCCGTCCACTTCGACGAGGCTTGGGACAGCGCCCAGGGCCTGGAGAACCGCATCTGCGACAGCCTCCAGTGTGGCACCTTTGTGAAGCACCTTGAGAGGCTGAACGGGTCCCTGCCCATCCGGTGGAGGATGGCCAACCCGACGAGCTGCACCTTCCCCGATGGGTGCTTCCTGCGGGTGCAGCCCCCAGACAGCGGTCGGCCACTCGCCCTGCTCTGCTCCGGTGAGTGAGATGACTGGTCCCCACCGCCACCTCGGGCAAGGGAAGTCGAGGGCGGCAGTGGGCGGTGCAGAGGGACTAGATCACCTTGAGAAGGGAGCACAGAGGGGAGACGGCTGGCAGGAGGAGGAGGCGCGGCTTGAGTCCCGGCAGCAGGGAGCATGATCCTCGCCAGAGAGATCGTAGAGTTGGGAGCCTTGGGGAAAGACACAGGAGAGAGACTATGGGGCGGAATGGGTGAAGTTGGCCTGGGGCACCCATGGGGGATGCAGAGAGAAAAGGTTCCGGTGAGGAAAGGTCAGCAAAGCTGGCGGGAGAGAGCTGACACCGGGTGTGGAGGTCCCAGACAAAGGCCAGGGACCATTCCCCACTGTCTCTGCTCTCCACCACCAGGGGGCAGCCGAGTGCTCTGCCCAGCTGACAGATGAGGACACTGAGGCTTCAAGAGGCCAAATTTCTTGTCCAAAATGTCACAGCATTGGCGGGGATACCCACAGTCCCTCCAGAGCCGGGGTCTGAACCAAGGCTGCTAGATCTGACCAGGGTGCAAACTCCCCCACCCCACACACATGCTCCTCTGGGACATGGACATTTGACTTGCACACGGCTGACAACCCCCAGTATCCCATATAGTCCCACGGAGCCCGCCAGGAGCACAGAGCACAGAGCCAGGAGTCAGCCCTGAGCACTGCCAGGTGTGGCTCAAAAACCAAAAGAGGAAAGGAAAGAAAAGAATAAAACAGGAGGGGCTGGAGCAATAGTACAGCGGGGAGGGTGTTTGCCTTGCATGCAACTGACCCAGAGTCAATCCCCAGGACCCCATAGGGTCCCCTGAGCACCGCCAGGAGTAATTTCTGAGTGTGGAGCCAGGAGTAACCCCTGTGCATTGCCGGGTGTGACCCAAAAAGCAAATAAACAAAAAAACAGAACAGGACATCACCCCTCAGAACCTGGGCCCCACGACTGCAGGGACCTAAAGGGACATTTACCTGAGCTTCCAGGGCAGCCGTTGCTATGGAAACAGGCCAACCCAGCAGCGCTCACGCCTGACTGGGGGGGTGGGGAGTGGGGGTGGTGGGGGCGGGAGGGGCACACGCTGGCAGGCACCTGTGGTCTCCGTCTCAGCTGCCAGCGCCAGGGGCACCCCCGCAGGAGGGCAGGACGTGGAACAGGGGCCACAGGCTGGCCGGCTCACAGCCAAGGGGGCACATTCCAAACCCACCCTCTCCCGCCCACTTCCGCCCCCGCCCCCCCACCCCCAGAGTTCCAGCCCAAGGTGCAGAGCCGCCTGGTCGGGGGCAGCGGCCCCTGTGCCGGCTCCGTGGAGGTGCGGCAGGACGGGCAGTGGGCAGCACTGTGCAGCAGCAAGTCCATAGAACTCTGGAAGGAGGTGTGCAGGGAGCAGCGGTGTGGCCATTTCATATCCGGCCACGAGCTGGATGCCAGCGAGTCCCTCCAGGGGCATCCGTGTTCCCAGAAGAATCTGTCGCAGTGCCACCTGCTGGAGGAAAAACGGAAATGCAAGAGGATGTTCATCACGTGTGAGTGGGCTTAGCCCGCAGGGAGGTGGGGGACAGGCAAAAACAGACCCAGGAGCTAGAGAGGGGTGGAGAGATGACTCAGGGAGGGGGGATGGGTGGGGCAGGGAGGGTTCAGGCAGCGGTGAGGGGGAGCGGTGAGCAGGACACAGGGTGCATGAATCCCTCATACTCTTCTTCCCCCCACCCAACACAAGACAGAGAAGGGACAGACGGTAGACACTTGCTATACTCATAACTAATGGCAGCTGGGCAAAAAATGAAAGAGACAGTGGACGGTTAAGTGGTAGATGGGTAGATGGGTGGGTGGGGAGTGGGTGGATGAATGGATGATGGGTAAGTGGATGGGTGGGTGGGGGGGTGGGTGGATGAATGGATGATGGGTAAGTGGGTGGGTGGATGGATAGATGAGTGGATGTATGATGAATAAGAGAATGGGTGCATGGATAATGAGTGAGCGAATGGGTAGTTGGATGGATAAGTGGGTGGGTGGATGGATGGATGATAGGTGAGTGGGCGAATCAGTGAATGGATGGATAGATGAGTGGATGGGTGGGTGGGTAGGTGGATGGATGGGTGGGTGGGTGGATGGATGGATGGATGGATGGATGGATGGATAAAGAGTTCTATGGATGAGTGGATGGATGGGTGGATGGATGGGTGGGTGGATGGATGTATGGATGGATAAAGAGTTCTATGGATTAGTGGATGGATGGATGGATGGATGGATGGATGGATGGATGGATAAAGAGATCTATGGATGAGTGGATGGATGGATGGATGGATGGATGGATGGATGAAGAGTTCTATGGATGAGTGGATGGATGGGTGGATGGATGGATGGATGGATGGATAAAGAGATCTATGGATGAGTGGATGGATGGGTGGATGGATGGATGGATGGATGGATAAAGAGATCTATGGATGAGTGGATGGATGGATGGATGGATAAAGAGTTCTATGGATGAGTGGATGGATGGGTGGATGGATGGATGGATGGATAAAGAGTTCTATGGATGAGTGGATGGATGGGTGGATGGATGGATGGATGGATGAAGAGATCTATGGATGAGTGGATGGATGGATGAAGAGTTCTATGGATGAGTGGATGGATGGGTGGATGGATGGATGGATAAAGAGTTCTATGGATGAGTGGATGGATGGGTGGATGGATGGATGGATGGATGGATGGATGGATAAAGAATTCTATGGATGAGTGGATGGATGGGTGGATGGATGGATGGATGGATGGATAAAGAAATCTATGGATGAGTGGATGGATGGATGGATGGATGGATGGATGGATGGATGGATGGATGGATGGAGAGTTCTATGGATGAGTGGATGGATGGGTGGATGGATGGATGGGTGGATGGATGGATGGGTGGGTGGGTGGATGGATGGGTGGATGGATGATAGTGAGGGTGTGGATGGATAGATGATTCGAAGGATGGATAGGTGGGTGGATGGGTAGGTGGATGGATGGATGGATGGATGGATGGGTAGAGAGTGGATGGACAGGTGGATGGATGGATGGATGGATGATGGGTAGGTGAACAGGAGGGATGATTGGTAATGGACAGATGTATATTGGTGTATAATCATATATTGGTAGATTATAGCAAGGCAATACCTGTCTAATGGCACCAACTTAAACAGCTGATAGATACCAAGAGTAGGAAGTGATATCTGGACGGCCAACTGCTGGGAATGGTGGATGAAGGAGTGGGGAGGAATGGGGGGGGGGGCTGAGTCCCACAGAGCATCCCACACCTGCCCGTGGGCCCCTGGGGAAGCAGGATGGCAGCCCCTCCTCCCTCTAGAGTTCTGATGCCTGGACCCCTCCGCCGCCCCCCCCCCCAGGCCAGGACCCGAACCCGGCGGGCCTGGGTGCAGGCTCCGTGATGAGCATCATCCTGGCCTTGGTGCTCCTGGCCATGCTGCTGACCGTGTGCGGGCCCCTCGCCTACAAGAAGCTGGTGAAGAAATGTACGTGTGAGGGTCCCAAGCCGCTGCTCCCAGCCCCTCGAGGGGGTGGGGCTCAAGGGGCTGCACCTGAACCCACAGGGTCCCTCCCCCCCACCCCCGGAAGAGTCAGCTAAGGTGCTTGTTTATCACCCAGACTGTCCCTCCGCTACCCACTGGCTTCTCCCTGCTGGAGAAGCTTCACACGGGCTGGTGTGTCCTACCTGGGCCCAGCCAAGACCCAGTCCAGGCCCACGACAGCGGTGTCCTCATTTTTTAGACATGGGGGTTCCCAGAGGGTCAGGCGACCCCTGGCCTTGGGAGACATGTGCCCTGAGCCTCCGCCAGCCTATCTTACCCACTGCTCTAGGTGAGATGGCATCACATCTGTCTGAGCCTCATTTTTCTCCTCCACTGAATGGGTGACTGTCAGCTGGGGACCAGAGGAAGAGTGACCCTTGACCCAGAGCAGGGAGGAAATTGTTCAAAGATGAGAAAGTTGGGGGGTGGGGGTGCAGAAAGATAGGACAGCAGGGAAGGCATTTGCCTTGTACGCGGCCAACCCAGGTTGGCTTCCCAGCAACCCACAGAATCCCTCCAGCACTGCCAGAAGTGACCCCTGAGCACAGAGCCAGGAATAACCCCTGAGCATTGTTGGATATGGCCTTAAGACCAAAAAAAAAAAAAAAAAAAACCTCAAAAATAAAAATGACAGGGGTTGGGGTTGGAAGTCCAGAATGAGCAGGCGAAGCAGGTCCCCAGAAATCGGGGTTCTTCTGCAACGCCCCCTGTCCTCTGCTCCCCGGGTCTCCTGGGAATCCCCTTCCGAGACAGACCCCAAAGACTCCCGGGGGCATGAGTCCCATGTACCCCCCTCCCACCAAACCGTCTCTGGGCCTCCTCCCTCCTCCCCCCCCCAGCCCTCACCTGACTTCCTGTCTGTCTGTCTGCCTGTCCCCTAGTCCGCCAGAAGAAACAGCGTCAGTGGATTGGTCCCACGGAAATGAGCCAAAACAGTGAGTCCCCACCCACAGTGTGATGGGGGCGCGGGGGGAGAGGCCGGGCGCAGCTCGGGGCTTACCACAAGTGGGGCCAGTGGCTCTCCGCGGCCTCTGACCGCCACCACACTGGTCAGGGTGTGGCCAGGGCTGCCGGTCCCGGGTGCTAAGTGGCATTTCTCGGCCCTTCCCCCAAGCCTGGGTCCTTCCTGCACCCCACCCTCACCTGCTGGCCAGGGGGGCCCCCACCCGCCTCTTTTCTCTTTATCTGCGGTCTTTCGGGAATATCCTGGGGACCCGTGGGGGGGGTGCTTAGGGCCCCTGGCTGAGAAGCTGCTCAAAGCCGTGCTTAGTCCCATCACTGGATGCGAGAGTCCAAGTGGGCAGCAGTGGCCGTGGGCCGGGACAGAAGCCTGGTCTGTAACCCACCCGGGACGCAGCCCAGTGCCGGAGCACACGCCTGGCCTGGGCTTGATCCCCGCACTGCCAAAAAGAAAAGGAAAACGGGGCCCACGGAGAGATAGCGCAGCGGGGAGGGCGCTGGCCTGGGTTGGATCCTTGGCACCCCATACGGTCCCCCAAGCCCTGCGAGGAGTGGTCCCTGAGTGCAGGGCCAGGAGGAAGCCTGGGCATTGCAGGCATGCGCCCCACCCCCCCAAAAAAAATTAAAAACTGGGGCCAGGCATGGAGCAAGAGGGCAGGACAAAGCATTCATCTTGCTAACCCGGCTAACCCGGGTTCCGCCCCAGGCCTGAGGACTCTGCCACGCCGGCTCCGTCTCAAACCACCCCACCCCCACCCCCGTCTACCCGCTCCCCACAGCCGGGACCCAGCCCACCCTCTCGGATCCACAGCCCTCAGGATGCCTGTCGGGGTGACAGTAGAGAATCCCCAGCGCAGGGTGGGGGTGGGGAGGAGTTTCTGCACCCACCCCGTCCTTCTGCCCAATCCCCCACCCAGAAACGCTCGCTGACGGCTGGCGGCCCCATGTTGCTCTGAGCTTGCCTCTGCAGCCCTGTGCTGCCACCCCAGGGATGGAGGACGGGGGAGGCAGGACAGGAGCCCCCCTCCCCGGGGGCACCCAGACCCCCGGGGAAGGGACTGCTCACCCAGCACCTGTCCCCGCGTCTCTCTGCTCAGTGTCTTTCCACCGCCACCACACGGCCACGGTGCGCACCTCGGCCGTGAACCCCACCGCCACGCACGTGGAGAACGAGTACAGCCAGCCGCCCACCAGCGCCAACACCGCCTACCCAGGTGAGCCACACCAGGGGGGCCACGGGGTAACCCAGCGCATGGGGTGCGGCTGCATGCAGACAGGGTGTGACTGACGGCTCCCCACGGTCTCCGGGGGGGTGTGGGAGGGGTGTGTCCGCCCTGTGTGCCTGCAGGGCCTGGCAGGCTGGAGGCTGGAGGGGGGTCCGGGATTCCGGCAGTAGAGCAGAGATATCTGGGCACCGTGCTCCCAGCCTGGTACTTGGTGTGCGGCCCCAGGGAGCCCTGCCAGCCTCAGCAGTGGCCCAGGCTGGGGGACCCAGACACGCAGGCCAGCAGCTTAGCGGGGACCTGGGCTGTGTGATCATCAATGTGGTGCGTAGCATGGCATGGTGTGGTATGTGCCACGGTGTGTGGCTTCATGTGGCATGGTGTGGTATGTGACGTGATACATGGCATGGCATGTGACATGCATGACATGGTATAGCTGGTCTGTGGCATGTGTGGCATGGCATGGTATGTAACATGGCGCATGGCATGGTATGCAGTGTGCGTGGCATGGCATGGCATGGTATGTGACATGCACGGCGTGGCATGGCTGGTATGTGCCGTGGTCCATGGCGTATGTGACATGGTGAATGTTATGGTATGTGACATGTATATCATGGCATGACTAGCATGTGATGTGGCCCATAGTGTGGCATGCCATGATATAAGACATGGTGCATGGCATGGCATGGCATGGTTTGTGACATGTATGGTGTGGCATGGCATGGCATGTGACATGGTCCATGGCGTGGCATGGTGTGGTATGTGGCATGCTTCTGTGGCATGGCATGGCATGGGACATGTGTGGCATGGCATGACTGGCATGTGATGTGGCCCATGGTGTGGCATGGCATGATAGAAGACACGGCGCCTGGCATGGCATGACCTGGTATATGATATGCGTGGTGTGGTATGGCACGGTATGTCATGGCATGGTATGTGACATGTTTGACATGGCATTGTTGGTAGGTGACGTGGTCCATGGCATGGCATGGTATGTGACATGGTATGTGGCATGGTATGTGATATGCATGGTGTGGCATGGCTGGTATGTGACGTGGTCCATGGCGTGGCAGAACGTGGTATGTGGCATGGTACGTGGCATGGCATGGCATGGTATGTGACATGGTGAATGGCATGGTATGTTACATGTGTGGCATGGCATGACTGGCATGTGATGTGGCCCATGGTGTGCCGTGGCGTGATATAAGACATGGCGCATGGCATGACATGGCGCATGGCATGGCATGGCCTGATATATGATATGCATGGTGTGGCATGGCATGGTATGTCATGTGGCCCATGGCGTGGTATGTGACATGTGTGACATTGCATAGCTGGTATGTGACGTGGTCCGTGGCATGGCATGGCCTGACTGGGTGTGTGCGGGGCTCCCTCTCCTCCCCACAGCTCTGGAGGGCGCCCTGCGCCGTATCTCAACCCAGCCCGACAACTCCTCGGACAGCGACTATGACCTGCAAGTGACCCAGAGGCTGTAGGGCGTGAGGACCCCCCCCACTGTCCATCCCCCCAGGGGGCTCGTGTCAATCAGCACCTGCCGCTGGGGTGCTGGGAACCCCGGCTCCTCTTCCACGCCTCTCCGAGCCCTGAGAGCTTCCGCAGGGAGATGCCCCCACCCCGACACTAAAGGGGCTTGGGGTCTGCCTGAACCCCTGAACTGTCTCTGGGCTTGAGGCCGCCTCTGTATCACCCGCAGAACCAGAACCGGGAGGAGCCCCAGAGAGCCAGAGCGCATCCTGCCTGCCTCCCCCGGGCCTGGGCTGTGGGCGGGGTCTCCTCCAAAGGGGTCTTTCTGTCCCCTCCTGCCCCTACCCAGCCTGTGGACCCTTCCTAGGGTGGCCGCAGGGAAGGCCTTGACCCGAGCCCACTCCCCTGTGTGGGGACGGGCCCCCGAGATTCCACCCCAACATGATGGTTGGCACGAAGACCCTTAGGATGGGGGCAGGCAGGGCCTTGCGTTTCTTTGAAAATAAAAAGTTTTTGTCCATCCTTGGTCAGGAGTGCTCAGGCTCCTCAATCCTGGCCTGTCTGGGGGTGCCCAGGGGAAGGGACTCCGGGGTTCCACGGGTCCTGACCAAGACTTAGCATCACAGCAGCTGAGCGTGGGTCTCTCCTCGGAGCTGCCCTGGCCCTGTTCTGGGCTCCTGCGTGGACGACGGTGTCAGCAGAAAGGCTGCAGGGCCTCACCCCAGGTCCTGTCAGAGCTCTGGTGCTTGGAGCCTGATCCAGGGGACAGGTCACTTCCCTGGCTCAGACTGGGGGTTCAAAACAATGGGCTACGGGGTGGCCCACAGGGCTGGGGGGGAGGGGCAGGCTTCGCACACAGGAGACCTGGGTTTGATCTGGCACTGCACTGTCCCGAGCCCCCCAGGAGTGACCCCCAAGCACTGCACCAGGAGTAGTCCCCTCACACAGTCAGCTGAGGCCCCCAATTCAAAATAAATACTCTAAGATTGAGGGTGAGCTGGAGAGGTAGCACAGGGGTTAAGGTGCTTTCCTTGCATGCAGTCAACAGGACTGCAAACCTTGGCATGACACATGGTTGCACCCCCAAGTGTGCACACCCTCCCAAAAAAATTCTTGAAGGCCCAGGAGGTAACACACACAGAAAGAAGGCAGCCTGTGGCAGCTGACTGGCAGCTGTAACCACTGCTGTCTCTGTACATCGTCCTTGGGCAGCCTATCCTGGCCACCTTGCAGGCAAGGAATGCAGGAGGGATGGCTTGTGGGTCCACTGGAAACCAACCCGGCCCAAACAACACACACACACACACACACACACACACACACACACACTCCCCACAGCTGCCCTCCTGCTAGAAGCAAAAGGCGCCCTCCCCAGCCTCATAAGCTGCAGGGATCAGGGGCAGCCGGTGAGAGGGCACGACCCACCAGTGCAGTGACCTGCTGGGTTCCAGAACCCCTCAACCCCGTCCTGGGTTCCGACAGGCAGACAGGCTGTCGTCCCCCTGAGGGTCCAGCAGGGGGCAGCATTGCCGCGCTGCTAGAACCGGAGGGGGGGGGGAGGGCCGCACGCCCTCTAGTGGAAGCCTGTGGCGCTGCACGTCCAGTGCTCACCAGCAGGCAGGCAGGCAGAAAAGCCAAGGTCAGGACATCTGAACATCTGATGTCAGACAGAACCGGGCTAGAGATGTCAGATGTCAGAGAGACCCAGATATCAGGACTCTAAGGGCGTGCGTCAGAGGGGGCTTTCGGCAGGGCCAGGGCCCCGAGGCTGGGAAAGAAACCCAGAAACTGCCTGAGCAGACAGACACACGGACAGTCTGAGAACTCATCCAGGTTTATTATGGCAACGAATTACACAGCCCCATGGGCCACGGCTGGTCCAGGCGGGACTGCTGGAACGGGTGGGCCCATGAGCGAGGTCTCCTGATAAATAACTTAGAGCAAGCGCGATCGGTCGGGAACTAACAGTGTGGAGCCAGCTGGTGGCCGGAGGTGCTCACGGGGCAGGGGGCAGGCACCAACCACCCAAAGTCTTTCCAAAGGGCCCCCGGTTCGCGGGCAGCCCTCGCTGAGCACTGCAGGGTGCACATGTCAAGGCACACAGGACTTCCTCGGTGGTGGGCTCCACCTTGCCCTGGACCCCAGGCTCAGTCTGGGGACCACCAGATTAATGCTCCATCGTTCACCCACTTGGGTCGAGCAAGGTTGCTATTGCAACCCGAAGTGCTCCACGGCCAGGGGAGTGCGTGTCAGAGTCCCAGCCCCCAGCCCCTGAATTTTGCCCCCCTTGAATTCTGAAGACGGGAGGGCAGAGCAAAGAAGCAGCCCCGATGTGCAGAGGGTGTGGGAGAGCACCATTTGGGGACTCGCTGCCGGGGCATCTTCGGCTGGAGGGAGACGTGGAGGCAAGGGGGCAGGGCTCTACGTCCCAGGAGGGCCGAGGAAGAGGAGGAGGAGGATGGGGGGCGAGATTCAAGGCACTGGAGGAGTGGACGGGTGGGGGCAGGGGGCACCTCAGAAACCGCCTCCCCTCAAAGGGGAGTATCAGGGGAGACGGCCCAGCTTCTCCTGAGTGAGCAGGGTGTGGGCACAGCGTCCCGGCCAGGGCGGCTCTCCTTCCAGCCGGAGGTTGCAAAGTCCTCCAGGTTTTGTAGAGAATGCAGGTAAAGGCTGGGGATCCCCCTCCTGCCCAGATGGTGGCCTGCAGGGGCCCCACCACATCTGGACGCTTGGGTGGCCACGGGGATTAGAGGGGTGGGCCCACGGAGCTGGGTTGGGGCTCCTTAAGCCAGAGCCAGCCTCGGTGTTCTGAGAGGAAGGGACCTCACCGGCACCCCAACATTCACGTCCAGGGGGAGCAGGGGGCACTCCATCCCATCCCCGCCCTGCGCATCCACAGACACCCGGAGAGGTAGGAAGGACGCTGTCTCGCACCGTTAAGTGAGAGACCGGGCGCTGGAAGGGGGACTCCCTGGCCCCCTCTCCCTCGCCTGGGAATCCACATGTGCTCACAGGCCCCTGGGGGGCCGGGACTCCCCCAACCACAGGCGGCAAGCGGGCAGGGCTAGTACCCGTGCCAGGCAGGGCCCTGGGGTCGGGGGAAGCCGTAGGGGGGTGCAGGGCCCAGCGGGTAGGGGGGCCGCGGGGGCCCCGCGGGCGGGGGCTGTGTGGGGTAGGGGGGTTGTGTGGGGTACGGGGCTCTCCCTCTGGACACAGGGTAGGGGAGCTGTTGTGGGTACCCGGAGCTGCTGGGCCGGCCCCCCGCCACGGGATAGCCGGGGCCCGCGACCCCCGGGGGGACCCCGGGCGGGGCGCGCGGGGGCGACCAGAAGGCGGGGGGCACGGTGGGGGGCGGCGTGGGGAAGGGCGCGGGCGGGAGCGCGCCGTGCGCCATGGGCCCCGTGGGCAGGCCGGGCGTGGGGCTGTAGGGCAGCGGGTAGGGGGGCATGGGCGCGGGCCGCGGCTCCTCGGGCACCGTGGGGGGCGTGGCGGGGGGCTCCGGGCGCGGCGGGGTCGGCGGCGGCAGCGGCGGCGGCGGGCGCGGGGGCGCCGCGTCCCCCTTGGGCCGCGGGGGGCGCGCGCATCACCTCCTGCAGCTTCTCGGCGCGCACACGGCGCAGGTGGGACAGTACCCGCAGCGCCGAGAAGGTCTCCAGGAACGTGTCCAGGGGCACCTCGCCCTCCAGGAACTTCTCAGCCACGGCCTGGAAGGCAGACGGGGCGGGGGCGGTGACGCAGGGGGTCCCTGGGTTCAGGCCTGCCTCGCCCTCCCCCACTGCCTCTGGGGTGGAGGTTGGGGGCTTTGTCTTTGGGCCAATGGGCACTGTCACTGGGTGGTGGCCTGCTGTCCACACCCCGCCACCCCCCAGGCCACGGCAGGTCACCAGCTGCTCGCATTCATCCAGGCGCGCCGGGGACCTGAGGCCAGAGTCAGGGGCCTGGCAGCCCGGGGGCCCGGGGGACACCATATGGCCGAGTCCAGCCTCACCTCCGACTCCTCCTCCACCTTCATGCCTTCAACCTGCAGCAGGTCCAGCAGGGTGCCCAGCTGTAGCGCCGAGGAGAACTTCTCTGGAAGAAGGGCGCTAGGTCAGTGGCCCCAGGCGCCTCTGGCGGCCAGTCTCCTGAGGTGCCCTTCCTGAGCGGAGGGGGGTGGGGGGGCAGCCCAGCACAGTAAGATGCCCCCCACTCCTCGCCCCGACAGAGATGGGGGTGCCAGAGGACCCGATGCATTTGGAGGAGGCAGGCTGCCCCCGGCCAGGACCCTGACACAGAACCTGGAGCCCCGGCTGAGCAGAGGCCAGGCAGCCGGCACAGCACAGGGACAGGGACAGAGACAGGGACAGGCTCTGGAGGCCCAAACCTCAACGCCCACCCACCAACATGGGCCCCTGCCACGTGCCGGGTTCCCTCCTGCCACCCACCCCATGGCTGTTGGGAAGGGGCTTAGATGCGGGGGGGTGGGGGGGTGAGGTTGGGGAGTTCATGACCCTCAGCGCCTCCAGTCTGTCAGAGGCTCCTGCCCCCCCTCCCGGCCGAGGGGGGGGGGGGTCTCTAAGGAGCAGAGACTTTGCCCCTACCCAGCTTGGCCCGGTGTTCCTGGCACCGCTCCACCAGCTGCCGAAGCTCCTGGTACTTGTCGGAGAGGTTGGCACGGCTGACCTCCAGGGGGCCCTGGAACTCCAGGTTCTGCTCGGCCAGGCTGCGGTTGGTGGCCAGCGCCATCTCCCGCTCCAGCTGCAGGTCCTGGACCTGGAGGGCAGAGGCGGCACCGTCAGCTCCACCCGGGGAACTGCCCGGCTCGGGCACCAACGCACAGTGGGTCAGCACGGACCCCTCAGGACACCCTCCATGCAGTGGTGTCAGGGCAGTGGGACATGGCACCCGTGGGGTACAGTCCGTGGACAGCTTGCCCACGAGCCAGAGGACAAACCAGGCCCCTCGAGGGGGAGGGGTGTCCAGGCTGTCACCCGAGTCACCCGGGAAAGCCAGGAGCTCCCAGAAGGGAAGGGACCCCAAAAGCCCATGCCCTTGTCGCTGACTCGGAGGTGGACGCAGGCGTCACAGGGAGGCCTCAGGTGACTGACTCGGGGGCGGGACAGCCGGACCCAGGCCTGGAGCCCAGACTTGTCCCCGCCTCGGGGTCATGGGCATGTCCTGCAGAGAAGTGACGGATGGGCTGAGGACCAAGAGACATAAGAGGACACAACCAACACAGACACGGCCAGGGGACCCCGCGGCCCTGCGGACAGCCTGGGCGCCCCTCAAGGGACTCCCTGTCCAGCTGGGCTCTTGCATCTTGCATACTTGCTGGCACAGGGAGAGAGAGCGCGTCGCCCCCTGGAGGGAGGGAGGGTGACCTCAGCCTCTGCCCAGGGTGGCACCCAGAGTGGGGCGCTGGAGGGGGTGACCCGGTCAGCCACGCGGGCAGCATGTGAGCCAAGTCATCTTCCGGCACTCGCCAGACAGGCCTGTTTGTGGGGGCGTGTCTCGCCCACCTCAGAGTATGCACAGGCGGCAGCGGCGCCAGGGGGGTGGGAGGCCACGGCCTGTCGGGGGCTGCAGCAGCCCTTAGAAGTCCCAGGTGGAGGAAGTGAGGGTGTGAGTGAAGGGGAAGCCCGGGTGCACAGAGCACAGTCAGGAGGGGGACTCGGCCCGACTCGGGGCGGGGGTGGGGGAGGCCCCGAGAGGGAGCGTGTCCCCCTACCCCGCCCGCCTGACCCCAGCCAGCCTCGTTCACCTCGGGGGCCTCCTGGGCCAGCCGGTCGATGGCCTCGGGGTCACTCTGCATCTTCTCCAGCTCCTCCAGCGTCTTGTCCCTGAGCGTCTCCATCTCTCCCTAGGGACAGAGTGACAGCCATTGGGGAGGGGTCCCTGGGAGGGGACCCTACGCCCAAGGACCCTCTAGCAGACAAATCGGGGGGGGTTGTTCTTTTTTGGGGGGGGCCACACCCGGCGATGCTCAGGGGTTCCTCCTGGCTCTGCACTCAGGGATCACTCCTGGCGGGGCTTTGGGGACCATATGGGGTGCTGGGGATGGAACCCAGGTCAGCCGTGTGCCAAGGCAGTGCCCTGCAGTACTGTTACTGCTCCAGCCTTCCAAAGTGGAGGCTTCTGAGGCTGCCGCCACCCTCAAGGAAGGCCTAGAGGGCCTGGGGTCCCCCACCAGACCACCAGGAGCAGGCTGGGAGGACCCCGGCAGTCAGAGGCCAAGTGCCCCCAACCCCAGTGGGCTGGATGTGGTTCACTGAGGAGCAGGCAGAAGGCAGGAGCAGAGGGGAGGGACCGGGGGTCGACAGCCCAGGGCCCTGCCATACCCCACCCCCAACACGAGCCTGTTTCAATCGGTACCAGAAACTCTCCGGGGAGGCAGTGGCAGCCTGGCCGCACCCACTCACAGTGGTCACTGCAGTGGTGGACCCCAGACTCTTGACTACGCTCCCCTCCCCCACATGCCCCCAAATGGACGGTCAGCTTCAGGTCCTCTGGGAGCTGAGGGACAAAATCCCCAAAGCGACTCACAGGTGACCAGGAGCCAAGATGGACAGCCCCGAAGAAGCACTAGCAAACCCACTCGCCGTTCCCTGCGCAGGGGGGTTCTGCCTCGCTTCCCTCCCATCTCCCCTCCCCCCCCCATTAGCTTTTCTGGTGAGGAGGTTTGCTCAGGGGTCCCAGCCTTCAGGGACCCCCCAGAGCCCCACACTCAGCCCCCAAAGGCCCCAGGTGACAGCCGTGTGGGCAGAGGTGCCCTTCACCAGAGCTGTCCCACTCTGATCTGATCTGATATGAACCAGGAGTGACATCCCCAGTCACAGAAGTGACGGGAGGGGCAGAGAGCGGGTGCCGGCTCTGTGCAAGAGGCAAGGATGGACCCCAAGCCCCCTCAGTCCCAGAGAACACAACAGCATGGTCACGAGTAGCCCCTGGGCCAGACCAAGAATAGTTAAAAAAAAAAAATTTTTTTTAAAGGGCTATTTAGCTATTAAGGCTCCTTTACAACACTTGCAAAGTGTCCTGATGATCAGACAACAAATTTGGAGGTCTGATCGCTTGATAAGTGATCTGATTCCTATCTGGTATCTGCTCCAGCCAGAATGCAGTCCAGACCTGACCTCTGGGGACCAGGAATGCCAGGCTCTGGGTGTGCCCCTGCAGCCCGGGGCATGTCCCCGAGAAGGTTAGGTAGGTGTGCCCCGGCCTCACCCAGAAGCCTCTGACCCCCAGCCACAACTGCCAAGACAATCACTCTCCATCTCACGATGCAGGCTGGCCCTAGGCGGCGGGTGAGGGGCAGCAGCTCACACCTTTTCTTCTCTTTTGGTGGTGGGGGCAGGGTGCCGGGGATGGAACCCAGGACCTCCCCGTGTGCGAGGCGGGAACACCCCTGGCCTCTTCTGCCGAGCTGCACCCTGACCCCAGACTCTCCTGGCTGATGATGGCGGTGCAGGGGCGGTCAGGAAGGACAAAGGCTCCCGCCGTGGCCTGGCACTCACTCTGCGCTCTACCACACCGTCCCCAGTGCTCAGAACCCCCTGGTGTGAAGCGGAGTGACAGGGGTAGGGGTGAGTGGGGAGAACAGCAGTGGTGCGCACCCCCCCAAACCCCGGGCACGGGAGGAAGTCAGCAGGCGGCAATCAGGAAGCTGTTGTGTGCCCACAGGCCTGGCACCTTCCGGAGCCCCGACGCCTGGTGGGAGGCTGGCAGAGACCCAGGGGGTCCCGGGCCCTGCTGTTTTGCCAGCTGTGTAACTCAGACACGGGCATGGTGTCCCCCAGAAGTGGGCTGGGAAGGGCCGGGAAGGGCTGTCTGACGGCAGCGCCAGAGACAGCTGCCCACGGAGGGGTCCCCTCTGCGCTCCCTTTCTCTCCCTCCCAACTCTGGTGTCTTCAGTCTGTCTCCTGATCTCTCGCTGAACCATGGCCTGTGAGACGGAACAGTGGGGGGCGGTATGAGCCATGTGCCCAGCCCTAGTGCCAGCCCTGGCACTACTGGGTCCTCTGAGCACTGCCGGGTGCAGCCCCGGAAGTCCACATGCTTCACACCGGGGTGGCCCTGGAGGTGCCCCCGGCACCCAGGGTCCAAGCAGTTCCGCAATAAACTGCCGGACAGACAGGTGGACTGAGAGTCTCAGGGAACAGCCCCAGGCCCCCGGAGCACTGTCTGAGAATGAGAAAGACCCCGGGTCCCAGTGCTCGCCTCCCCCACCCAGGAGCTCCTGGCAAAATGGGAGAGGAGGAAGGAGCAGGGACCCCCAGATGGCGCCCACAGAGGGAGGTGGGGGCAGCCCCGTCCCAGCCTCCTCCACAGTCCAAAGGGGCAGAAAACACTCACGCTGGGGCCACAGCTAAGGCACAGCTGGGAAAGCATTCGCCTGGCGGGCAGCTGAGCTGGGCTTGACCCCCGGCACCCTCTACTATTCCTGGAGTCCCGCCAGGAGTAATTCCTGAGCACAGAGCCAGGAGTGACCCCCCTGACCACCCCCGGGTGTAGCACAAAAACCAAAAAGAAAAAAAAAAAGAAAGGAAGAAAAGAAAAACACTCATGCACATGCCCCATTCAGGGGTGCCCAGCCCCTCCTTGAGACAAGAGCTGGGGTGGGGGGCGGAGAGGGTAAGGGGGGGGTCACAGACCCCAGACCCCACCGACATGGAGGAGGATCAAGTGTCAGAGCCATTTCCCCTCAGGTCTGCATGGGGCTGACCGGCAGGAAGGGGGGGGGGGGAGCAGGGGCGAGTTCCAGGGGCGCCCAGGCCCCTGCAGAGGCCCCTCCAGCCTCCAAGGAGGCCTACAGCTCCTCCCTCCACACCCCTGCATTAGCCCCTCAACACCCTGCCCTGGTGGGTCTTCAGGAGTCAGACCTGAGGCACAGTTTTCAGTGGCCCTGGGTGGGGGGTGGGGGGGGGAACCATCTGGCCTCACCTGGCCTTGAGGGGGGCGGGAAGCCTAACCAGGCCCCCCTGCTCAGGAGCTTGGCTGGGACGCTGGGGCCCAGAACACTTTCAAGCGGCATGAGAGTCTCTGCAAAGCCGTGCATGTTTGTACATGCGCACAGATGTATTCGTGTGACATGCACACGTGTACACACAAGTACACACATGCATGCACGTGCATTCACATGCAGGCATATGTGTATATACATATATATATATACATATATAAGTAAAGCATTGCAAATGCATGCATGCAAGCCCACATAAAACACACATGCACACAGACTCAGGTGCCGATATGCACACCTGATTATAAACATGTGTGCACACATGTGTACACACATACAAGCATGCGTGCACAGGCGGAAAGCAAAGTGCTGCATTTCTATGCACAAGGGCACTCACATCAGACTGAGGAGACCAGGCCCTCACCCCTGAACAGTCCCTGGCAGCCGAACCCCGGCAGGGTGCCCCCGCCCCGCTGCCCTCTGCTCCTCGGCTCTGTGCTCATCACCCGAGACCCGGTCGGATGCCCTGGACCTCGGCTTTCCTTTCCAGAAAATGGCACCTGGGTGAGAATCCCACCTCAGGGGTCCTGCCCGCCAGCCCTTCCCGTTAAGGAAACAGCCCTGAGAGGAGTCTGCAAGCGCTCAGGCATGGACCAGCTCACAGTTGTGCCCCGGGAGGGGGGGGGGGGGTGCTGTGTGGGATCAGAGCTGCCCCGGCACCTGGAAATGAGCAACTGTGCACGAGGGGGCGCCACCACCACTCCCCAGGGCTCCCGGGAGCCCACCTGCCCCCGGGGACCTCACGCCTGAGGGCTGTGCCCAATGCAGGGACTCACTCAGGCCCGGTTCCTGCAGAATCAGAGCACCTGGATCCTCTCCAGCCTCAAGAGGCTGTTCCCATGGCAACCAACCCCCTCGCCCTGCCCTGCACACCCCACCCCACTCGCCCTGGATCTCCCTGACCCTGATCCTGCAGCTTAGCCAGGAGTAGCTCCCTCCCCACCTCCCCTCTCAGCTGGCCCCAAGAAGGGGAGCTTAGGAACCGCAGGCTCCTGCATCTGAACCCCCACCTTGACAGCAAACGCTCAGCCCGGTAAAACAGACCCAACACAGGGCCCTGGGCAGGGCCAGAAAACCAGCTCTGGGGGTCCTGGGAAGCCTCCGTGCATGTTTCTTTTGTTTTTTCTTTTTGGGTCATACCCGGCGATGTGCAGGGGTCATTCCTGGCTCTGCACTCAGGAGTTAGCCTTGGCAGTGCTCGGGGGACCATATGGGATGCTGGGAATCGAACCTGGGTTGGCTGCATGCAAGGCAAACACCCTCCCCACTGTGCTATTATTGCTTCAGCCCCTCCGCACATGTTTCATACACACATCTTTTTATATATATTTTTTTAAATTTTTATTAGTGAAACACCATGAGGTACAGTTGTAGACTTACAAATTTTTCTGCTTGGGTTTCGATTATACAATGATCAAATACCCATCCCTCCACCAGTGCCCATTTTCCACCACCATGGATCCCAGTATTCCTCCCACCCCCATCCCCCCATCCCACCCTGCCTCTGTGGCAGGGCATTCCCTTTTGTTCTATCTCTCCTCTTGGGTGTTGTGGTTTGCAAAAGAGGCATTGAGTGGCAATCATGTTCTGTCTAGAGTCCACTTTCAACATGCATCTCCCCTCCTGGGAGGATCCTCCAAACACCCTTTATTTGGTGCTCCCTTCTCTATCTGAGCTGCCCTTTCCCCTAGAATGCCCAGCTGGCCTCTAAGCCATGGAGTAATCCTCCTGGTACTGATCTCAGCTATTCTTGGGTATTAATCTCCTATTTTGTTACTTTATGTCCCCTAGATGAATGAGATCTTTCTATGTCTGTCCCTCTCTTTCTGACTCATTTCGCT